TCTTTGGGATGGGATGCCCGTGTCTGCTCTGTCCCAGAGGTTGCTCACTGCCCGTCGTGCTGACTGCCCCCTCCGCCAGTGGCTGAGACCACCGTTGGAGACTCTGCCCTGGAGTCCCTCAGACACTTGTGGCCGGAGGGGACATCACCCTGGATTCAGGACACTTGAGGGCTTTGGAAGAGCCCAGCAGAGCGAGGAGACGGAGGTGGAGGGATGCCTAGGGACAGTCCTTGGGCAGTGGCCATGACGCCAGTGAGGGGTGGGCTATGGGCCTTGGCTGTGTCCACTGTCCATTCCGTCACTCCCTGGCGTTCCCTCAGTTGCCTGGATCGCCCTCTGCTGGTCCCCCAGGCTGCTCTGGATGACTCTAACCTGCACCTAAAGCGTCTGGGAGGGGCGCAGGCCTGGGGTCTCGCGGTGTCATCTGCACTCGTGATGTGGGAGGAACTGGTGCCCTGAAGGGACCGGCCCGGAACGTGGATGTTGGGTGTGCCTTGTGAAGGACGGAATGGAGTGACTGATTCTCAGTTCACGCTGGGATATCTCTCAGCATCCCGGCTCTGGGGTAAAGGAAGTGTGGAGCTCTTTGCCCTCGCAGGGAAGGGAGGCTGGAGGGCGTTGTCTGCCTGGAGCACGGGGAAACCCTGTCGACCAGGGGGATATCCCAGAGTGCCCTTCTCTGGGTCCTACGAAGCGCGTCACCAGGAGAGCAGTGTTGCCGCGGCGTCTTTGGGTGATGCTGACGGAGTGGGACACTGCCAGCTCTTTTCTGCAGACACATGCACACACACTCATACAGTCACGTGCACACACACACACACACAGATGTGCATACATGCATGCAGCCTACATACGTGCACATACGCACACTCACAAACGTGCACACGTATGTGCATACTCACCACCCAACACATACACATGCTGTGCACACTTGTGCACACGCACGCACACGCATGCACAGGAGAGAAAGGAAGCTGCTGGAACAGTCCTGGAGCTGGAAGCCTTTTGTGAGTCTGGGCAGGTGGAGGGCGCTACACTCTTGGCCTGCTTCCTGTGTATTGGGACTGTCCCTGCAGAGGCAGTGCGCGTGCAGGTCCTGGTCGGGCATGGGTGCTCTGCCCAGCTCTGGTGGGAAGGGCTGGTCCCAGGGAGGTGGGATTTGTGCACTGACCTTGACCTGCACAGAGGCGAGGGGAGTCGGCGTGTCCCTGCTGGGAGTTTCACTCGCGACCCCAAAGGGCGGCTGGCTGTCCCTCCCTTCAGCATGGGTGTCTCCTGCCTCCTTCTAGCCTGGTGGGTGCACAGGGGCCAGCAGCCATGCTCGGCACACCTGCCAGTCACAGCCCAGCTTTCCTGACGAGTTCCTTGTCCTTGCAAGTGCTTAGAGACAATACAGGGACCACCTGGTGTGTTCTTTTCTTTAATGTGGTTAATATTCATTATATCTCACAGTCAGCCCGAAGTTTCATTTCTTCTGTCTGTAGATGTGTCCCGTCCCCCGATGACATCCCTGGGGCCAGGGCTGGCTCTGTATGGAAGCAGAAGCTTGATGAGCTGAGCCAGCAGCAAACGGCTGTGTGGCCAAGTCGAGTCGGACCCTCTGGGCCACCTCTGAGAACTTCCTCCCCGCCTCTAGGTGCCCAGCAGGGGAAGTGTAGTAGAGCTGGCATGAGGGCCAGGGGGCAGTGGTCCCACCCAGCCCTGGCCCTCTGTCCCTCCTCTTGGCCACTTGTGGCCTGGAGTCTGGGGCTCTGTGGGGCCTTACCTGCCCTCCAGCACCGGGACAGACACTGCAGAAAGAACGAGCGGACTGAACAAAAGGCTCCTTTGGGATGGTGATGGGGCTGTGGGCCTGCACACGTGCTAGGCCCGCTGGACGCCACAGCCAGCGCCTAGCCTGGCAGTGCGGGGCTCTGGAGTTGCTGCTCCCTGCCCCTCTGTTCTGCGGGACCACAGCCAGGGAGGTCGTGGGGCCCCACAGAGCGAGGCTGGGCTCTGGGAGCCCCCTCGGATCGTGGTGTGAGGAGTTAGTAGTGGATGATGGCAGAGTGCCAGGCGCCTGGGCCGGCCAAGCCCTGTGCTGGTGGGAGGTGCCGTCTTTCCATACCCGTCCCTGCACTGAGGCTGTGCCCCCCTTCTGTCTGCATCCCGCCCTTAACTAGGGCACTGCCAGGCCCAAGCTGAGGGTGTGAAGCTTGGCAGTCTCAGGACCTGACTCCCCGGGATTGGGGTGAGAGGGACGGAGCGGGTGCAAGATGCACCAAGTGTTTATTTTACAGGGGCCCTGTTTTAGACCTTAGTTGTTTTTGGACATGAATTTTAAGTTTTGTTTTTAATCCTCTGAGTTAGCATGTCTGAGTCCTGAGAAGGATTTGTGAGCTTTGTTTCTCTGCAGCATTGGAGCAGTGCACCCTGACTGTTTGCCTGGCCCCTAAGCCTTGGTGGTCTCCCTTTGGCCAAATGGAGCCACTTGAGGTAAGACTAGGCCACCATGCCCGCTAGGACAGTCGGCAGGGCCTCCTCCCTGAGCCACTGCGCTTGTTCTGGGCCCCTGAAGCCGGCCTACCTCCATCCACACTGCAGCTGCCTGGAGCTCCCATCTGCTGCTAGTGGGTTTGCGGCGGTTCCCGGGCCCCGCCAGAGCCAGTTTTCATTAAGTCACTCAGAAAATTCCAGAAGCTGATGTCTCATTGGTTTGAGGGCAGAATTCTCTGGCAACTTGCAGTACATTCTGTTTAGAAGAAAGGCGGAATCTGCTGTCTTCTGGACCTGGCCGGGCTGAGTGAGAAAGTCACAGGAAGTCGTAGGAAGGCCTCAGAGACCCTCGTCAACTTCAGCCCCGGTGTTATTTAAAAATTTTTTAACTCTTTTTCAATATTTGTGTATAAAAACTTGAACATATAACACTGTTGAGAGAATTTTATAGTTAACACTCGCATATCCGCCGCCTACATTCTGTCGATAACATTTTCCTGTGCTCAGTTTATCATGTCTGTCTCTCTCTCCATCCATCCGTCCGTCCCGTTTTTTATGCATTTCATGGTACATTGTAGACTTCAGGGCACTTCCACCGAAAGCCTCAGCGCAAGTATCATTAGCCAGAGCTCAGTATTGGTTTTGTTTTTTCTTTTGATACAAAATTTCATATGTTCTCGTATTTCCCTGTGACGTCTGCAGTGATGACCCTGTTTTGATTCCTGATACCAGTAGTTCATATGCTTCCTTTTCCCTTGATCATTCCACGTAGGGGCTTATCAGTTTTATTAATCTATTTAATACCCAGTTTTTGAGTTTGTTAATTTTCTTTATTGCTTATCTGTTTTTTTTTTTCTTAATTTCCACTCTGTTATTTTCTTCTTTCTACCTTGGAATCTCTTTTTTCCTTTTTTAGCTTCTGACGGTGGAACAGTAGGTCATGGGGTCAGACCTTTCTTCTCTAATATAAACGTTTAGATTATAAATTTCCCTCTCAGCACAGCTTTAGCTGCAGCCCATTAATTTTGATAGGTTGCATTTTTAATGTTAGTCAGTTTGAAATATTTTCTAACTTTTCTGTGATTTCTTCTTTGATCCATGAATTATTTACAGTGTGTTTTAACTTGCAAACATTTGGGCTTTTTCCTAACCATCTTACTGCCAGCTCCTGTTCCAGCAGATGGCAGGGCCCTGGCTCCCTGGGTCCCTCTGTCCACCACCAAGTCCGTGCTTCCTTTGACAAAGACACGGTGGAAACGTAAACCCCCCAGGGAGGAACCATCCTCACATTGACCCAAAGTAGTTCTTTCGAAATTAGCAGTTTTGGAGTCCTGAGGAGAGGGGATGATGACCGAGCTTGGTCTGGTTACTTGGAGGGGACTGGGGGTGGGTGTTGAGGGCAGGGGGCATCTCCTCCTCCTCCTTGTAGGGTGTGGTTTTTCTCCGACTGACTTGGCCTGTGGGGAGGAGGCATCTGGGAGCCTGTCTGGGCCCAGGCCCCTGCTCTGCTCCTGCCGGGGCCGCTCAGGACCCTGGAGGCCGTGGCGTCATCTCCTGGGGGGCTGAGGCTCTGGAGAGCTGAGCCAGGAGGGTTCCCTGCCACCCCAGTGCCACAGTCAGGCCCCGGATGGGGCGAAATTTGGAGTCAGGTTTTGTCGCACTGGACTTTGTTTATGTTGCCGTTTATGTTGCCCGTGCTGAGCCTGCCGAGCCACATAGCGTGCCGTGGGTAGCCGTGGATGAGCCACGTAGCGTGCTGTGGTTTTCCTTCTTTCTCTCTGCTCAGTCTTTTTGTTGGTATAAACCCATTTAGAAGGCGAAGCCAATCCAAGAGCAGCAGTGTGAAGGCAGTAGGTAGGATGGAAGACGGCAGGAATGAGCCCCCAGTCGGCCTGGGGGACTGAAAGAGGGGTGACCTGCTGGCCAAGCCCTCCCTGGTACCCGCCCCGCCCTGCTCAGTGGAGTTGGGGCCTGGGGTCTGGGTGGGGGTCCTGGCACAGCTGTCTGCTTTTACATTCAGAGCATGAGTATCGACAAGGAGGGCGGCGGTTTGAGAGGGAGACCTTCTCCTACAGGAGCAACAGCCCATAGTGCCAGCCCTCGTGACCATGGCTGGGGGACGTGCTGATACTGTAGGACAGGACGTAAGTCCATGCCGCTCGTGCGAGGCCCCCAGGCTCAGCCTTCTGGTCTGTGTTCTTGTAGCTGCACGGGTTCCTGCTGAGCAGAGGGTCTGACGCACGGGCGGCCCTCCACAGCACCCTCGCGGCACTCGAGTGGGGACGGCTTCTGCTTTCGTGTGCCGTTACTTCAGGTTAAACTTGCTTGTTTCTTAGAGCTTGAGCCTCTCTGATGGTAAGTTGCCATTTTAAATGTGTTGCATTCTAGGGCCTATTTCTAAGGAAATGCTAATTTTCTTGTAAAATTCACCAAGCCCTTCTTCCTAGCAGATTAAGTGTACGTCCTTTGGAGAAGTTTTGGTGTAATTTGTAGAGGCCTTGACAGCAACGGAAGAAGCAGATTTTGTGTTGTATGAAAGGAGAGAAGGTTAGCACTCCCCTCGATAAGGATGGAAGAGGCCCTCGGGCCTTACAACTTGCACACAGTTAGGCATCGTCACCTACTGTGTGGCATCTAACCACAGTTTTCTTGGAGCCCTGGTGGCACAGTGGTTAAGAACTCGGCTGCTAACCAAAAAGTAGGCAGTTTGACTCCACCAGCCGCTCCTTGGAAAAACCCTGTGTGGCACGACTCTGTCCTTCAGGGTTGCTATGAGTCGGAACTGACTCGACGTCAATCTTCGGTTTTTGGTTTTGGCAAGCTGATTTTACCTCGTTATGGAAGTAAAGAGGAGGCTGTTCTTGAGTGGGGTCCTTCGTAGGAAGGCGGCTCTTCATCTTCTTCCATCTTCTCTCTCACTGGAAGGAAGGCTCTTGCTGGAGAGACACTGGGTTTCAGGGGACGCTCTCGGCCGCTGGTGCAGTATTTTCGCTTGTCCTTTGGGTTGAAGACCCAGTTGTAACTTCCTCTTAGAAAGCTGTTTTTAGCTTGAACGCGTCTATTCCTGCACAGACAAGATTACCTTTCTGGGAAGGGGAAGCGGCTCTCTTCAGGATAAGCGGTGGTGCAGGCAGGGCTTCCTGTGGGATCTGGAAGCCTGAGCCCGGCACCCTCCCCACCATGCAACCAAGACCAGCGGCTCAGCCCTCGTGTCCAGGTGGGCCGGGGACCCACAGCGATGGTTTGTTTTTGAATGAAAGTTTGGAGAAAGTGTTAGAGAAAAATGAGTTTAGTCCTGTGCCTGTTGCCTTGCTGTTGCTGTTTCCTTAGACGGCAGGCTGGGCTCGCAGCCACGCTGCGGGCTCCTTTTGTCGCGTGCTGGGCTGCCACCCCACTTGCTGGCTCTTGCATGTTTGCACTCGAGTCCGCCTGGAGCCTGGGGTTCCAGCTGACTCCTTAGAGGCCAGACAGCACTTCTCCTGATCTCCGTGTGCGTCCCTGCTGAGGGTGGGCGGTCACTGGCTGGATGGGTGGGCTCTGGGCCTCCCACGGGACTGCGGCTTCACTGACATCGTGGCTCTTGTCCGCCAAGGTGGCAGCTCCTTGGAGCTGAGGGCTGGTGAGGTTGCAGAAGGTGCTGGAAGGTGGGAGGTGGGGCCGGCCTGTGGGACTGCTGGCGTCCCAGGAGGGAGTGAGGCAGGTTCTGATGCCCACAGGGTGCAGGAGGCCTGTGGGTGGGGCCTGTTGGGGTGGGCATCCTGGCTTCTCACAGCCGTGCTGCTCCTTCACCCATCCTCCCGCTGTCAGAGGCTGCCATCACTGACCCACGGGCCCCCTGCTCCCCCGGCCCAGGACCATCCCTTCCCAGCCTCTGCCCACTCTGATCCCTGTGAGGGCTCGGTGGGGGATGTGGGGGTGCTGAGGTGAGAAGCAGGGGTATGGGGTGTGCAGCAGTCCCGTGGGTGAGGCCTGGCGCCCTGGCTCGGAGCCAGGCTTGAGAAGGAGCACTGCGGTGGGACCGAGGCCGTGAGCCTGGGCCTGGCAGATGGAGCTCGTCCTTGCCTCGTCTGCTGGGTGCTGTGTCGGCCGTGGTCTCGGCAGTGACCGCCACCCTGGACACACCCCACAAAGACAGGCTCTATCCAGAGTCTCCGCCCCGAGCCCCTAGGGGCTGCAGACTGGGTCTGACTGGTGATGCTTCCTATTGCTCAGTGGTCGGCAGGGCTGGTCTGCTTGGCTAGCCCTTTCCTCGTCCTGTTGACGGACGAAAGTGAGTCTTCTTCACCTTCACCCTGGGAGGTTGGGCTGGTTCTTCCCAGTCAGCTGCTGGGGTCTCGGTACTCACTGATTCACGGCCCTCACTGAGGGACCTTCAGGTTGGACTTGTGTAAGGAGTGCCCAGCATGAGCACGCCCTCGGCTGGCACTCTAGTTTTGATTACTCAGTTTATTATTACTCTAGTTTTTATTACCACCTAGTTATAACCATTATTAACGTTCGATTTGTGTCCAAATGTGGTTTTTTAAAAAATGAGATTTTATGGTTTCTTGCTTTGCTAACTTAAGGTAGCCTGAACATTTTCCTGTCTCAAGAGTTAAACTTCTACGAAATTATTTTCCCTGACGACACAGCTTCTTATTGTATGAGGAGTCCAACCATCACCAGCGCGTGGGGGACACAGGGTGACTCCAGTCTATTGCTCTTCTAGACGGCCTTGTCACGTGAGACCTTATAGCGCGCCATCACTGAGCATATTTATTTTCCACTTTTTATTTGAAAACATTTCAATCTTAAAGAAAAGTAGAAAAGCAGATCAGTGGACATTGATAACGCTCTTCCCCTAGAGCCACCAGTTATTACCATTAGCCAGTTTTCTTTCTCTCTCTCTCGTTACCTTTTATTCTCTCCGTCTCTGTCTCTGCCCCTGTCTTTCTGTCTCTCTCCCCCTCTGTCTCTTCCCAAACCCGTTGGAAAGTCAGTTGCAAACATGAGACACTTCTGAATCCATCAGCTGGTATCCCCTGTGGACTTGGGCATTTTGCTGTCTGACCTCAACACCATCCTCACGCTCACGCTGTCTATCCTTGACATCACAGTGCTGTCTGACCTCAACACCATCCTCACTCCCACGCGGTCTGTCCTTGACATCACGGTGCTGTCTGACCTCAGCACCATCCTCACTCCCACGCCGTCTGTCCTTGACATCACTGTGCTGTCTGACCTCAACACCATCCTCACTCTCACGCGGTCTATCCTTGACATCACGGTGCTGTCTGACCTCAGCACCATCCTCACTCCCACGCCGTCTGTCCTTGACATCACAGTGCTGTCTGACCTCAACACCATCCTCACTCTCACGCAGTCTATCCTTGACATCACTGTGCTGTCTGACCTCAACACCATCCTCACTCCCACGCTGTCTATCCTTGACATCACGGTGCTGTCTGACCTCAACACCATCCTCACGCTCACGCGGCCTATCCTTGACATTATGATATTGAACACGCAGTGGCCCCAGTTGCTTCCAAGCATCCTTGATGGCTCTGATTTCTCCTTTCTTCTGGGCCATTCTCAGGGATCACACATTGTGTTTGGTGGTCATTGTTCTTTAGTCTTTTCTTCTAGATTTCTCTTGCCTGCCCTTTTTTTGGTCTGTCTGACAATGATATTTTTGAAGAGTCTACATGACCTGTCTGGTGGAGTGGTTCATGGTTTGGATTTGTCTGGTTGTTTCTTCGTAATGGTCTCAGTTAGACATACAGGCTAGACACACTGCACAGTGGGCTGTGACGCCGCTTGCCCACCTCACTGGGGTCAGGAGGCCCCTCCAGCTCACCATGAGGGGAGGCCAGCTTCTTTCATACAAGGACCACTGAGAGGTGTTTTTCTGTGACTCTTCTGTTTGCATCTTTTGCCAATTTTTCTATGAGGTTTTTGGTCTTTTTTTTCCTTAGTTTTTAAGAGTTCTTCAAATAATAGGAACTTTAACTCTTCAGCTGTGATATATATTGCAAATGTTTTCAACTGATTTGACTTTTGTCTTTTGATTTTGCTTATGTTTTTTTCCCATGCTGTTTTTTTTTTTTTTCAATTGCAGTTGAACTTAGTCTTTTTAAAAATTGTATCTGGATTTTGAGTCATGGTTTATTTTTCCACATGAACTTTAGCATCCACTTATCTAGTTGGGCCTAGGTGGGGGTGGTAACTTTTTGGTAGTTTTATTGGGGTGGTGTTATTTATACGCAGACTTGGAGATAAGTTGATGCTGAGTCATCCTCTCTGAGACCTAGAAGTGTCTTTCCATTTATTCAAGTCTGTTTTGTTTGTGTCTTTCAGGGATGTTTTAGTTTTTCTCTTACACATTTTTTTTTGTTGTTGATACTGTGAGATTTCTTTTTATCACATCTTCTAACTGATGATTGTTTGTATGTATGAAGGCTGTTGATTTTTATGTTAATTTTATATTTCGCTATTTTTCCTGAATTCTTTTATTATTTGTATTGGTTTTATTATTGATTCTTTATGTTTCCCAGATGTACTATCAGATCATCTGTAGATACAGGAGTTTTGTTCTTCCTTTCCAGTTGTCGTGCCCCTAATCGTTTTCTGTTTTTGATCTCATTATCCAATACTTTAGATATAAGGTCCTTGATCTTCATCAGTAAGTGCTTTAAGTCCTCTTCACTTTCAGCAAGGAAGGTTGTGTCATCTGAATATCAAAGGTTGTTAATGAGTCTTCCTCCAATTCTGTTGCCACATTCTTCTTCATATAGACTAGCTTCTTGTATTATTTGCTCAGCATACAGATTGAATAAGTGTGGTGAAAGGATACAACTCTGTTATGGATTGAGTTGTATTCCTCAAAATATCTGTCAACTTGGCTAGGCAGTGATGCCCAGTGTTGTGTGGTTGTCCTCCATTTTGTAATCTGATGCAATTATCCTATGTGTTGTAAATCCTTAACTCTATGATGTTAATGAGGCAGGATTAGAGACAGTTATGTTAATGAGGCAGGATTCAATCTACAGGATTAGGTTGTATCTTGAGTTAGTCTCTTTTGAGATATAAAAGAGAGAATTGAGCAGAGAGGGGAGGGACCTTCTACCACCAAGAAAGGAGAGCCGGGAGCAGAGTGCATCCCTTGGACAGCGGTCCTTATGCTGAGAAACTCCTAGACCCAAGGGAAAACTGATGACAAGGACTTCCCCCCGGAGCTGACAGAGAGAAAGCCTTCCCCTGGAGCTGGCGCCCTGATTTTGGACTTCCAGCCCCTTAGATTGTAAGAGAATAAATCTCTGTTAAAGCCATCCGCTTGAGGTATTTCTGTATAGCAGCACTAGATAACTAAGACAAACCCTGGCACACACTTTTTCTGATTTTAAACGGTGCAGTATGCTCTTGTTCTGTTCAAACAACTGCCTCTTGGTCTATGTCCAGGTTTCTCATGAGCACAATTAAGTGTTCTGGAATTCCCATTCTTCGCAATGTTACCCATAATTTGTTATGATCCACACAGTTGAATGCCTTTGCATAGTCAGTAAAACACAGGTAAACATCTTTCTGGTATTTTCTGCTTTCGGTCAGGATCCATCTAACATCACCAGTGATATCCCTTGTTCCACATCCTTTTCTGAATCTGGCTTGAATTTC